GAATATGCAGTGTTACTCAAACACTGCTTCACATCTGGCTATCTATTGTAGAAGGAAGAGTTCTACAAGCAAGATGATGGTATGGCAATGGGCTCACCTGTATTTCCTATAGTCGCCGACATATATCATGGAGGACTTTGAGGAGAAACCCTTCTTACTGCTCCTATAAATCCAAGATTCTACAAGCGGTACGTAGACGACACTTTCAAAATTTTACCGTCTGACGAAGCAACTGCATTCTAGACCACCTTAACTCCATAAGTTTCAAAATACAAATCACGATGGAGTTGGAAGCAAATAATACTTTAGCTTTCCTAGATGTTTTAGTCATCCGAAATCCTGATAACACTATTGGTCATACTATGTATAGGAAAAAGGCCTATACCACCGGTATTTAAATGGTGAATCTCACCATCATTCTTCATAGTTTGCTACTGTGGGTAAATATTTGTTTCAGAGAGCACAGGGGATCTGTGACAGAATACATCTGACCGCCGAGCTTCAGCATGTCAAGCAAGTATTGCAAGACAAGAAGCTTTGGGTCCCCAGCCTACGTCATAGCGAAGGAGTTAAGCCGGACACAGTCGGTGGATGGGTGCTGCCATCTGCTTGGAATCCTATAATTAACAAAATCTATCCAAAACCAAGCATACCACTGCAAGACTTCAAGATACTGTAAGCTCGTTTTATGTAGATCGAGAACAAAAATCAATATTCAAAAACTGAAGATAGCCGGGCTAACTATGATACTGAGATGTCAAACATCTCATTTCCTCCGCCCCCCCCCGTGACCATAAGTTAATTAAACGCCATAAAATCTATATAATTATATAGTTTTATTCAATGTGTAGTGTACGCGTAACTTTAAGAAATCATTAGATTACATACTATATACTGTTTTATTTTTTAATATATATTTTTATTTTTAATAATATATATTTAATATATACTGTTTTATTTTTTAATATATATTTTAAATTTCAAATAAAAATTGATCATTTATTTATCAATAACCAATAAACCCCAAATTTGTCGATCAACGTACCAACCCTGTCCCATCATTATGGTTCGGAGCATTCTAAGTTCAACCTTGAATTATCCAATCACAGCGCATTTGACACTTCCCCCACAACTCGGTATTTGGTGAAATCGAAACAGAACAAATATTCCATGATGCGGTATCTATTAGGAGGTAATCTGTGCTAGAAATGAATGATTGACACTTGTTTACCCCGTACTTGACGGGATTTGACGGGATTAGTGTTCTCTACGACGGGAGCTAGATTTTAATGTTGGCAACACTGTCTAGTATATACACACACAGTAATCTATGGTTCTAATATTTGTGGTGCTTGGAAATGTAAATGGTCGTAACAAAAACATTTTTCATAAATTATTTAAACTTAGTGATTTTTCATATTACTATTAGTGAAAAAGTATTTTTTTTTATTGCACAATCCGTAGTATACGTTATAATGGCTACTTCAAATAATTTTGCCCCAAATGCACCTGTTCTTGGATCTTCCGGACCAAATGACCTTCCACCACCATACTCGGCTGTAGTTGGAAACCCTCAATATGGCTTCGTCCCTCCACCAGGTGAACCCACTCCTGCAGGTGTTTATCCACAGCCAAAACAATTTACTGCTACTGGAGTTTATCCCCATCCGCCAAATGTTGCCAACGCCCAACCTCAGCCTGGATTAATGGGTCCTTCACCATCTGGTGTACCTATTCCCGTTGGTTTAGTGATACCCCCTGCAGTTGGAACTGAACCGACCACTGTAACTTGTTTTAACTGTGGCAAAGTGGTTACAACCAGAGTAACATACACCACAGCTTGGCACACACATTTAGTTGCTGGGTCTATCTGCCTTATGACAATGTAAGTGTATATCCACTCAATGTTAATAAGCAATATTATTTATAAGCATGATATAAACAATAGTTTACTATATTTGTACCTTACATATGCATACGGAAATGCTAATCAATGTTAATGTAAAATTTATTTTAAAAGCGCAAGGTTAATGCTCCCTATTGGGAGGGGCCCATGTCTGTAATGGACTTTTGAATGCTAAAGAAGAAGAAATCCATAAAACTGCTTCTTACATGGTGCATTAGGCTATGTAATTTAATATGTGAAACTAATTTAATCTGGGTTAAATAATACTGCTGGTATAAAAGTATTAATTACAATTTTTTACTTTACAGGGTGTGCTCACTTTGCTGCCTGGGTCTAATACCGTACTGCTTTGACAATTTTAAGGATGCTGAGCACTATTGCCCTAATTGCAATACTTTTATTGGAAAAACTACAAAATGTTAAAAGTATTACTTGTAATTTCATAACATGTGGTTGGTGTTACTTTCTGACAATATATGAACATGGCTTAATGAATAATTTTTGTTAAATACTAAGTATGTTGTAATGTTCCAGCCTATATATGTCCCACTCCTGGGCACAGATCGCCAGTCATTTTTGAGAGGGCTGAAGCCAACATCTTTAGTGTTTGGACACATTTATTTTTTTAGAGGTTTCATTCTCATAATTTTTAGGAAAAAATCAAATATATTTTCAGTAATGAATTAAATGCCTGTTAATAATAATATATTGTTTTTCCTTACATGAAGTATTATAAGGAAATTTAAGCAACACAATTATGTTTTATATATTATTAAAGGTCACGAATGATTGTAGTTGGGTTTACTTATAAAATTTAGTTTGATTCAGAATAACCTAAACCCCTTTCTAAATGCAATTTTCCAACATTTTCGAATACTGAAACCTGATGTATTCTGTTGATAAAGATTAAGAGTGCCATAAAAAATCTGTTTAAAAAATTAAGTAGTTATCGAAAAATCTTCTGTCCAAAATATAGATTATCGTTGCTATGAATTAACTGAAAACAAATAGTAGTTTAAATTACATTAGGAATACTGGAATACTAGGATTCCAAATGTTAGTTTTCAATATCTACAGAAATATAAAGACTAAATATTGCCAATGAGTCTTAGATAATTTTTGATCAGGGTTATGCCTAACCTTTTGATCTACATAAATATTAAATAGTTAACAATGTGTCATTTGTCAAATATATCATTTGACTAGGTTTTGCAGTGTATTTTTGTATGCAGTTACTGTTACTTTTCTACTGAATAATAATTTAAATAGCCAGCCAGAGACCATATTTGTATGTAATGTTAATTGGAGTTTTTAAGTTTCAAATATGTATATCACATGACCAAGACATAGAGAATCATGTCTCCTGTATATAATTACTGTACACATTAAAAATATTTTTCAACATCTTATGACATAAGTCTTCAAAATGCATTAAATCTTCAATCCCTACCTATAAAAACACATCTAACCTAACATTGCATACATAGTTAACAACTTGTTACATTAATGAGGTCAATGATAAAAATTATAATTAATTACTGCTATATCCATTGAATAAATTACTATTTATAAATATTTATGACATACATGGTGCTAAAGTTTATATGTCACCTATTAAAACAATGTGATACATCAGTTAAAATTGTATTAAATATTACATTAAAATAAATTCCACATTATTCAAAATTATCTTTGATTATTTCATGCTTTACCTGTATTGATGTATATTATAAGTGTTCTATTTATAAATAAAATGGAATTTTGTAATTCAGATTTCACATGCTTTCAGAGGTTTGAATAACCTGAAATTTTGCAGACAAGAACCGATGACAATACAGTAAGTTCATGACTATGACATAGTATCCTAATTAGGATGGCGCTGTTATCATGTGCTATTATAGCATATGATAATTTGCTGTTTTTTATTTCATACTATAATATATTCATTTTGTTTCCATCTTTTATATGTTATTCCATATATTATCCTTTAGTATACCATGTAACAATAAGTTAAACCTCCCTAAATAGCATTTCAGGCTGCAGAGACCAATAATGAATTAAATATGTTGTGACTTTTACTATTTGTTTTGTTCTGTTGCAGGTCATATTATTGATAAATAAATACCCCTTGTTGGATTGTAACACTTAAATACCAAATAATTATAAACTGCTATGTTTGGATGATAGTGCTTGACATGATTATTAGTATGTCACAAGCTATGATAAAAAATTATTTAAGTACTTTATATGCTAATATTTCAGTAGAATACTGAAAAAATATTTAATAATAAGAAAACAAAACTTCCAAGTTAATTTTAAATCTTCAAAATTAATTAAGTCTTGACTCTCTGAAACATCAGTTTAAATCATCCTTAAAAAAAGACATGAAATTAACCGTTATTCTAATAATTAATTATTTAGTATATGAGTAAAGAAATAGGTTTTTGGGATGGAGTATTTAAACTTTTAAGTTACTCTGAATATGTCTATTCTACAAAAAATATGTCTAGGATTTTATTTAGTGGAATTGGACTTTATTATATGTATATAAGCTGAAAAATAAGTGTTGGCTGTTGGATAAGGTGTTTTTATTTTGGTAGTTATTTATATATTGTATTTTCACTGGATTGTAAGTAGATGTAATAAATAATGAATGTTTCCTGTATATATACAGTTCTTTTATCATTTTATAACAATATTGGTAAGACACAATAAAGAAACCATGGCTACATGAAATACCTAATCAATGTAAATTTATTTCTAGCTGTTTTTAGTAACTGAAATTGTCTAATTGTGCTTAAAACCATTTTTTTACTTCAAATTTATTACACTTGCTATTCTAGAACATTTTATACATTTTATTTTTATTAAACAAAACTTATTAATGATGTGTTTTATTTCTCATCAGTATCTGATGTCAATAATATGTGATAATGAAACAGCACATGTTATCTCATACTTATTTTTATCTTTTAGTGATAAGATAAATACACATAGAAGTGACTGATGACAAATCAGTTTCACTTAACTGTGTACCTGTAAATCAATACTAAGAAATTTTTGTAACTTAATAATTTCAACTTGAAAAATTATCATGAGTAACAGTGTCAGAAATACAGATAGCACAACAGAAGTTGAGCTACCTACAGTAACAGGAAGACTTCAAGGTTATCAAGATCCACCTCCACCATACTCACCTGTGGGAATGACAAACAATCAGCCTATAATTCATCAAACAATTATAGTTCAGTCACCGTTAAAAGATAGACCTACATTATTTAACTGTCCTACTTGCAAAAAAGTATCTTTAACAAAAGTGAAATATGCAAATTCGACAAAAACTCATATGATTGCTGGTTTTATATGTGGCTGCACTTTGTAAGTGAACCAGTTAGCTGTCCTGTGTATTACATATAGTTCATAGCTATTGTCTAACTATTGCGTCGTAAAATCGGACAGTGAAAATGTTAAGGTAATTTAAATTATGTACCCACTAAGAATTAAAAAAATATTTTTTACTCTCTTTCAGCTGGTGTATGCTATGCTGTTTGGCTGCCATTCCATATTTGTTACCTGCATTTAAAAAGACAGAACATTATTGCCCTAACTGTGACAGATTTCTCGGGACATATTCAAAATTATGATGGAGCAGAATATAAAAGGTTAATGAAACAAATCGCTTAATTTTTTCAGATTGTTGAAAATGCATACCCATAATTCCAAAATTCAGATGCTAAAGATTTTACACATGGAACTTTGTGTTGTTAAAGTAGTAACCACAAATTATTTTACTAACACGCTTAAGAATGGAATATTTAAGATATCTGAATTATTACTTCTTTCTAAAGTGCTACTTCTATATGTTATATTATGAAATAAGTTTAAATTTAATAATTTTATTTTGAAGATGAAATAAAAAGACTGAAGATTGTTAGCCATGTTTATTACTTAACCTATAGACACTAATATTATATTAAATATAATTAACTGTTATAGGGAACTTGTAGTCTGAAACAATCTGATGCTATTTTCCACTTTCCATCCACAGCTACTATCAGAAATGTCTGCTGAAAGGGCTTTTTAATGTTGTCATTTTGATAAGTTACATCTCCGCAAGCTTGAATAAGATAAGTTAACTTATTAGAAACCAAATTCTCCGAAATGGGTTGCGCATCCAAAGTTTTAAGAACATGGTTACTTCCGGGCAAATCCATAAGGAATTTTTGAATTTTATCATTGCCATTAATTCCGTTTCCATTCCACACCAACAGCCCCGTATCGAGGTAGAGTTTTGATGTTAGGTGCCGGCTGTTATCCACCTGTTTGTAAAAGACTCTGGTGAACTCTTCAGCTGTTTCACAAGCATTATCTACGTTTTTTAAAACTACTTCAGTGGACATGTTTTCAGTTTCTATTCAATAGAAAAATTATTTAGAATTAATTAACGCCCAAGGAGGTTTTAAGACCGCACAATACAACAAACATTTTGTGAATCACTTTGATACATTGATATTTGATGATAAATAAATATGTGCAAGCTATTTTGAATGGCAGACCATTTTATTTTTTAACCTTAAGGGAAAAGGAAATGATCCCATTCAGCCTTACCAATTTTTTTTTATTTATTTGATAAAACCTACAACTATTTAAATTTGTTTTAACTATCTTACATAGTATACTTCTATATTTTACAGCCAATGAGGATATATTTTTTTTGTGTAAAAAACATTTTGTTTTAACCGAACGTGACAATTTATTACTGTTGATTGTATTAACACTCAGATTAGATGGTTTGCAAGGGAGTTTAAAATGGATATAGACGTGTTGTAGTTTGCAAGTATATTGCGCTACTGACTAACAGAGCCATAATATGCATATCTCTAGCTTATAACTATGTACCTACTTAAAATATCTTTTAGTAACAACAATTACATTTTAGCGCAAAAGAATTTAGATTATGATTATAGCTATACTCAACATGCGGCCTTTAGCACTCATGAGAGAACGAGTGATTCGGAACGGAATTGTGAGCCGAGCGCTATCAGCGATTTTAATGTGAATCGGACCGCAGCCTATTATTAGTTATCTGTGACTGCGAGAGCGAGACGGGACGCGCGGCGGGGTTAACGAAGATGTGCGTGTCGCTTTCTTTGCCGGTCGTAACTTGTTTTGAATTTTTTACATACCTAATTATACAGTCTGGAAGTAGTCGCAACATCATAACAAACAGTTGGTCTCATTAACATCCATTGCTCCGACTAAGCTTTTAGTATTAGATTACTCGTAAACACGATACTTTCAAGTACCCATAATTTTACAATAACGTTGTTCATGAATTGTGTCTATTAAGTTTTTAATATTAGATTACTGAAAACATGTTATGAATAAAAAACGTTACAGAAGACACAGACTCCACTGCATATTTGTTATTACTGGTCAAACAAAGGCGTCAAACATCAGTCAACGGACATTGTTTTGGCCATGATATATAAGCCGTTGCATTTAGAATAAAATGCATTATAGAACTGATCGTAGTCACTATTCTGTAGCATATATACCCCAAAAGGGGGTAGTCACGTAATCACTTATAGTTTGTGCCAAATCGATTGAGAAAAACGGACAACGACCTCAGATATGAGCCGAGTGTCAAAAGGCGTAACTTACAAAATCTCAATTTAGATGTGATAACAATATTTAAATATTAATATTACTCACACTTCTAGGTCAGCACATATTTTTTTTTGTTTCTTAAGTAATATTGTCTGTGGTTCCTATAAACACCATAAAATCTTACGGTACATCGCGAAAATGTGGTTTTATTTTATATTTCAATTTATGGTAAGTAACGCAGAAATTCATTGAACCCCTCAAGCGCCATAAAAATTCCATGCAGTCACATGAGCCCCGCAAATCCCGAAGGGTCGCATGCGACCGCACCCAACCACAGCACTTAAAACACCATTGAAACTTATATTTAGAGATTACTTTTCTATGAAGAAGTTTAGCATTATAAAATCTATACAAAATTCTCTATCCTGTGGTCCAAACAAAAGTCAGGTTTTACTTCATTACAAAAAGATTTTATTGTATTTTGATAACAAAAAAAAAACATACCAAGTGAATGTCGGTGGCGTGAAAATCACATTTATTTAAATATATATTACTCGAAATTATTTACGTAAAAAGATAAATTATATTCACACAAAAACTTTCATTACAATTTTACAATAAAACACTATACTAAAACACTAGAAAAATCCAAAAATCAACACAATAACATTCACACGAAAATGGCGTACGAAATGAATGAAGATTATAAATAATATTCGTAGGATAACTCTAATGCAATAAAAAGTTTTTTATTGCACTAGAGGATAGAGTATTGATTATATAATGCCAAACTTCTTCATAGAAAAGTAGTCTCTGTATAAGTATAAGTTTTTATAGGTTAAAGTGCTGTGGGTGGGTGCGACTTCATGAGACCGCTAGGGATTTGACGGAATACGGCCGCGGTCTCATGAGACCGATAGTAGTACGATAGTAGTAGTTGAGAGGTTAATAACAGTTTCATATTCAAAAAATATTTGAAGCAATATAATCACCATATTGAGCTTTTGCAAATTCATCCCTTTAAAATAAACAAAACGCGCGTTACGTCAGTTTGTATTAAAAGAAACGTGACAATGACAGTCAGACATGCGTCACTTTTTTTGGGCCGGCCCGCGTGCATCGAATAAAAATAAAGTTCTTATATAATATTGAAAATAAAGTTTTATCTTTTGAATAAGTACGTACTTATTCGGTGTCGTTATCACTCGAATCTTTATGTGCATATATAAATTATTAATATAAATTAATGCTTTTTGTTGTTAAATGAATAAAGTACTTTATAACAATGGATGATTTTTCTTCTACAGCGATCTTTTGCATAACTTTTTAATAATAGTTAATAAATATAAATTATATCAATCATTATAAAAAACTTACCTAACTTACTTACGTAACTTTATAACTAAGTAGTGTTGCCAACGTTTGGGATTATTAGTAAACAAAACATGTCCCGTAGTAAAGGTAATTGGAGGCTTCGATAAAACGATCCAAGGTTCGATAAACTTAAAATTTTATTCTCGTTTAGATCGAAGTATTAATTTTAATATAAATTCATTAGTAGTAGATAAGGTCACTGAGCGCCTGCCAACCTTTCGGTCGACGCTTCTGCAATGACCAGTTTTGACAAATTAGCTATGGCGGACGACACTTACTCCGAGGGACATATTGATATGCTCATCGGGGCATCTATCTTCCCTCATCTTTTGTTACACAACAAGGTCATGGGTAACTCCTCGTGTACCGCACCTTATGCATTAGTAACAGTATGATAGTCAACCAAATCTAAGAAATACAATTTGTCAGCTGTCAGACATATTGCACCAAGCATGCTAACTAAAAATTGGAAACGTACAATATTCGATTCTTAAAAAAATCGATATCGATTATTTAGAGTTGGTTATCATTTACAGTTTGGTTTTAATAATACCAGAATAAATTAAAAATGGGTAATTTAAAACACAAGATTTATCACTTTCTTCGTATTTGTAGAGGCACAGTTATAAAAATTTAAGATTGAATCTAGATTAAAAATAAATTTATTCAATCACTTTCAGTACAACTAGTTGAGCTGTCGTTGTTTAGATTAATTATTATTTGATTTTCAATAATGCAGTCAAAATTAATGTCTTTTTCAAAGTCATTCATAATCAATAATTTCGTTTTTTTTACCACTTTTGCAAAATCATCCTTTCTGATATGGGTACATGCTTCAACGAATATAGAAGAAACAGTTCAAAAAGTTAAAACTGAGAAACTGAGTCATACAATATGAAGACAAACACAAAATCACTAAACTACGCACAGTAAGCTCCCGAAATGGAGGCTGATTGAAATTACGTAGTGGTTTTTTCAGCGCGGCCACGTATATGAGTTTTTTTGCCTACATAAATTTGTGTTGACAAAGTAAAAAAAAAAATAAACTTGTGTTATTCATGATTCATGTAATTTAAAGAATTTTAAAAATAAAAAAAATACGTGTGGCACTCGGGGACTGCCGCGGTAAAGCTGTTACATAGCATTTTTATCAACTTATGCAATTATAATTATAATTGCATAAGTTGATAAAAATAATTGTTTATTTATTTTATGTATGCTCCACGCGGGAATTGAACTCCCGATCCGCGACGCTGCATTCGGGTGGTTCAGCCACTGCGCCAATCGTGTCATCAAAAATAGTGTATAAATTTAAAAAATATATTTAAGTATAAAGTCTGTGTTTATTAAATACTCTAAATTCACGAAAGTTGCTAGCATGACGACGACTCCTATAAATCCAAAGAATATGCTTCTTTCAATACACTATATTATTGTTTAAAATATTTTTATTATCTTACAATACATGCAGCTAGTCTACACGCCTATGTGTAGTCGCACGCACACAAACACCATACCGAAGTCTACCGAACTGAAACGACGTTAGACGATATTAGGTTTTGGGGTCTTATAGTTCATAAAAGATAGCTTGATCTCTGCGACAGCTGTCAGTAAAATCAAGCCTATGAAGTCCTGAATTTCTTTGTAGTACAGACAGTACCTGTCAATGTCATACTTTATTGGCATGCCGACCTAATTAGTGCATGCCCATAAAGTATGACATTGACAGGTACTGTCTGTACGTAGACAGAGAAACCAATAGACTAATGATTAGCGTGGCCTCGAGTGAGAAAGGATAATAACGTAGTTTTAGGTAATACAATAATCCTTATGAGTTTTAAACATACTTAGATAAAAAATTGAATTGTTCTAGGAACTGAACTGAACAGGATTCACCAATCTTAAGCTCACAAAACACTTTTTTCTCACTTAAACCAACTTGTAAACTCCTTAAATCGCTACGAACGATCAAAAAACCGGCACGGAGAAAGGGACAAACAATCACACCGCTCTGTCTCATTTCTATACAAGACGTATGCATAAATCTATCTTTTTCGTGTGCGAAAGCGAAAGAAGGCGTCAATTTGTCTATAGGTTTCTTTTTCTACGTGTCTGTACTACTAAGAAATTCAGGACTTCATAGGCGTGATTTTTACTGACAGCTGTCGCAGAGATCAAGATATCTTTTATGAACCATAGGTTTATTTTCGTTACGGAATTTCTTGATTCGGTCGTCGCACTCAAAGCCCGCGATAAAAGCTATGCGATAGCTTAAAAATAACTAAACAAATAATACATTATAAAACTAATGATCCGATTATTTGAATATTTTTACCGATTATTCGCATAACAATAATTTTTAATCATCACTACGGTAAGTTACATAGCGACATATTATTGAAATGACATCAAGTAA